GGGACAGCCCTTAATCTGACAAAAAAGAAAAAATGGTACCACAAACGTTACAACGTCATTCTCACTGGAACTGTGAGCCACGTTCCCTTTGAGAGGAGGGAACGAACCCGGTGCCTGTTTCTTCGACACTGGAGGTCAGAGCTGGTCCAGTCTGCAGGGAAGATAGCAGCATCGGTAGTGAGGTTGGCCAGACCACAGCACCCGAGGTCAGCAGACCAAAATCAAATTTCAGAACCTCAGATGCAACAGTGCAGCAAAACAGTGAGTTTTTAAATATATGTCATTTTCAACATCATCAAAGATACAAAACAGCTGTGATAAATCTAATCAGAGATGTGTGGTAGCCCATAGAGACAGCAGTAACCCACTGAGACACGGGAGAGAAGACTTGAACAAGTGGGAGAAACACACCTCACTCGGGTTGATTCTCAGTGTTTCGTACCGAAGTTTATAAACTTAAAATGTGATCTTAATAAAAAATCCCAATGGACAGTGTGTTTCTGTATGCAAAATTTGACAAGCTGATTTGAAATTTATATGAAAATGCATAGTTAAAAATAGCCACTTGAAAAGAACAAGATTATCTGCTCTACCAGATAATCAAGACTTCTAAAGCTGTCATATTTAAGAGTCCATGGTACTGAGTGCCAGAGTAGATAACCAGACCAGGGAACAAAATGGAGAGCTCAGAAACAAATCCCTGCGGACAGGCACCTTTATGACAAAGGTAGACAAGAGGAGAAAATACGTTTTTCCAATAAATAGTGCTGAGAAAATTAGTCATATGGGAAAAAATCAATTTATATTTCACACCATATATAAAAATGAATTTCACGTGAATTACAGATTTCAGTACCAAGGGCAAAAGCAAAAACCCTCTCGAGAGTGATACAGAAGTATCCTTGTGACCAATGCAGTAAGATGGGTTTAAAACAGCACCACACACACACACACACCCACACCCACACACACACACACACACGCAGACACACGCTCCGTGGGAAAAGAGTGGCGGAGTGCATCATGATGAAAATAGAACTTCTGGGCATTAAGGAAGCAGAAAGGCAGGCCACATTCTGGGCGAGAGTGCTTTAAAATACCTGACAAAGGTGTGTATCTCTAATGTATAAAGAATGCCTGCAAAACAGTAAGAAGATAGCTTAATTGAAAAAATGGGCAAGAGATTTGAGCAAGCACTTCACAAAAGAGGATATCGGAATGGCCAGGGAAAACGTACGGTGTTGCGTCTCGTTCGCAGGCTAAGTACAGAGAACCACAGCGAAGTAGAACCCACACCAGAACCTACCCTCTGGAATGGCTGAAATAAGCAGCAGAGAATGTTAGTGCAGACGGGGCAACAGGAGCTGTAGTATGCTGTTTCAACATTAGTTATGAAGTCGAAGGCGCACAGACCCAGAGACTCAGCCGTTCCACTCGGGGACGTACGCCCCGCCTCATGCGTTCACAAGGATGCCCGGTGTGTGCAGAATCAGCAGCATTACCTGTAACCAGAAAGCTAGAAACGGCCAGTGCTCACCAACAGTGGGACCTATAGGTTATAAAATGTAACAATTCCATGTAGCAAGTAAGACGAACCAACTGCCGTATGCAAACTACTGGAATGAACCTCACGTTCATCATAAAGGCAAGGAAAAAAAGCCAGGCACAAAATAATACGCACTGAGCTCCCATTTATATCAAGCCCAAAAGCACTGTGAAGGGGTGCTCCTCCAGGCAGAGTGGGGAGGGGGTTGCTCCTCCGGGCAGAGTGGGGAGGGGGTGCTCCTCCAGGCAGAGTGGGGAGGGGGTGCTCCTCCAGGCAGTGGGGAGGGGTGACCAGCACACAAGTGCAGCCGCTCTGCTTCCCTGTGGAGGGAGGGGCCGTGATGTTGAAGGGCCCTCGGCCTCTGTCCGGGTGCCGCTGCCACCGCTAGTGAGGATGGCGCTTAGGCTCACGTGCGTCTACAGCACGGTCGGGGTGTGTCCTGAGAAACGCGTCGTGGCGCAAATGTGCCAGAGTGCGCTCTCACAGGCCAAGGTGGCGTGGCTCCTGCCCGCCCCCGCCGTGTGGCAGGCCCTTTCGCTCACAGGCTACAGACCTGTGCCGCGTGTCACCGTGCTGAATGCTGTAGGCAGCTGTGACAGTGGTGTCACCTGCACGTAGAAAAGGTAACGCGCTGTGCCACGGCGTTGCCGCGGCTATGACTGCAGCCGTGCCACGAGGCGGTGGGAATTTTTAGCTCCATTGTAATCTTAAGGGACCACTCCGTGGTCGACCGAAACATTGTGTGCGGCACGTGGCTGATTGTCGAGCTGTGCGATTGTGCTTTTCTGTGTATGTTTCTGGCCTTTTCTGGCTGCTCCAAGGCTTGCCCCAGTTTTCTTTCCTTGGCTCTGCTCTCCTCGGATAAGCGAAGTATTGCTTTCATTCTCTTCCTTGCCGTGCATTCAAAATTAAAACGATTTTGTTTCACTATTTTAGGTTTCTGCCTTAAAGGACATTTACATTGTTAAAAGTTATTGACTTTTTGGAAGAAAATCCTATTTTAAAACAATACAGAGTTGTGTTTTATAATACTTGTATATTTTAAATCCACTCTGCTGTAAAGATGAAACCCCTCAATACAGTAGCTTAAATCACATGGGTCCATTGTTCTCTTGCATGGCAGTTCAGAGGTGGGCGGTGGTCCAGGCTAGCGGCTGGCTCAGGGCTGCAAGTGCCCCATCCTGCCACCGTGTCATCATCAGGCGTTGGCCTCTCTGCATGGTCACAGTGCAGAGCTAGACCACGCCCTCAATTCCAACTCACAGGAACAGGGCAAGCAATTTCACTTTTGGTTTTTTCTTTTAATGGCGGTTTTATCGAGATAAAATTCACGTGCCATATTTTTACCCACTTAAAGTCTACAGCCCAACGGTTGTAATGTGTTCACGGAGCTGCACAGCTATCACCACAATCCATCTTAGAGCTCTTTGAATTCCTTTCAGCAGAGGGCGGTTGCCCACTTTCATCCCATCACTTAGAACGGGGCCTCAGGCCACACCAGAGTGCAAGGGAAGGCGGGAAATGCGGTCTCCAGGCGGAGCCACACATGGGCCAGGGTTCCTGCGGGGGTCGGGGAGCACCCACCGGGGGAGCATGTCTGCCACGGGTAACAGGCCCCTGTCTCTGTGTCACAGGTGCGATAGCACAGAGAAGCTAAAGGCTCTTCTGCCAAGACTGGAACAAGAGCTTAAGGACACAGCGAAGTTTAAAGACTTTTATCAGTTTACCTTTACCTTTGCTAAGAACCCTGGGCAGAAAGGTTTAGGTGAGTATGGAATCCAGACCTGCAAGGAGCCCAATCTTGGTGAGATTCTGGGTGGACACAGCCAGTGCTCATGCCGTCTGCCCTGCTCGGCCTCCTTTCCTCCGCGTTCGCCCTGCTGCAGGTGGGCTGGTTCCTGGTTCCTGTACCTGAAAAGCTCGACCAGCTGTGTCTCTTAATTCTGGGCTTAAATGTTTAAATTCTGAAATGTAAACTAATTTGTAAATGTTGTGTGTCCTCTCGCATTGGTGTCTCATTGACTGACGGGCTAGGGAAGTCAGCAGTGAGCGTGAACAAGGTGGGTGTGGAACATGCTTCCCGCACGGAGTGGGCACCAGCCTGGCTGCGCTGGTCAGGCAACGGTCGTCCCGAGCGGGTCTGCACATTTACACCTAACTTGCTGGAAGCCAGTTCCCTGTGCATTGAATTACACTGGAGTACTTCTTTGAGAGTTATATGGTTTTGCTGCAGTAGAGCTTGTGTTTTACTATAAATTATGCATCTGGAAATTTTTTAAATTAAATTTTCAGTTTGAGTTTTTGGTTTATTTGAGGGTTTTATTTTGTTTGTTTTTCACCGAAGTAGTACGTAGTTTATTTCTGACTTAGCTTTTTCTAAAAATCAATCTAGATTGACCTATACTTTGTTGCCTAGTATAACAGACCTTGTTTAGTTCAGTAAAATCTCTTACAAGTTTGGAAGGAGTTACCTGGTTTTCCAAATAGGGACTAAACAGGTATAGTAGAAAGTATATTTTGAAAAAGAACTTCTGTAAATAAAAGCAATATTTTGAGACGATAATATTTAATTTCCTAAAAATTACATGGGAAAACAGAGGCCAGGCATGGTGGCTAACGCCTGCAACCCTAGCACTCTAGGAGGCCAAGGCTGGTGGATTGTTTGAGCCCAGGAGTCTGAGGTTGCTGTGAGCTATGATGACGCCACTGCACTCCAGCCGAGGTGACAGAGCAAGACCTTGTCAGGGAGGGAGGGAGGACTCACAGGTAGACAAACACAGCACCAGCGTTCGGTTTTTCCCTGATTTCCCGTGTGGTGAGCTGTCTGCAGCCTGAGAGGAGCAGTCCTGCGCCTCAGGGCCGGGGGGCCTTTCCCAGTCTGGTGGCAGGGATCTCGTTCTCCTGCCTGTGTTTCCTCCAGGGCCGTGCGTTGCTGTGTTTGCGCTGCAGGTCTCTAGCCCCCTGCGGAGCCGCTGTTCCTGCCCCAGGTGCTGCTCGCGGGCAGCTGCTGCGCTGCGCAGCGGAGATCTCGTTCAGGAACTGCTTGAACAAACCCACCAGAACGTGAGAAGGTGGAAGTGCTGTGGGTGCCTCTGGGAGAGCCAGGGGGCGGTGGGGGTGCGCTCTTCCCGCTGAGGGATGCGAAGGGCATCCTCGAGCACCGTCAGAGATAACACGTGTGGGGAGAGGCGGCTCCGACATGCTTCCGTGGAGACAGCTCCGGGGCAGTCGCCGCGGGCCCCAGGCCCACGCCAGGCGCACAGAAGTGAAAGGGAAGGAAGGCCCAGCACAGCCGGCACAGGAGGAGAGGCCGCGCAGGCTGCTGGGTCCCCTTGTCCCTCCCGGTTTTCAGGACCAGCTTGTGCTGAAGTGATTTGAGGTGGGGCAGAGGAAGGAGCTGACGGCGTGGCCCGCCATGGCCTTGCTTGCGAGCCCTTCGGAGGCGCTGGGAAGAGACCCTGGTCACCAGGCCGATGTGGAGACTGAGGCGTTGGCCACACGGCCTCGCCGGGTTAGGATTTCCGGCGGCTGGTCGTGTGGGTGCACAGTGGAGAGCTGGACGTCACACGTGGGTGTTCCTGGGGAACCGGCACGCTCGGGATGGGAAAAAGGTCGTTCTCACGGTGCTGCCTGGCAACGAGGAGTCTGACGGGAAAGGTTGAGGGCGGCTCTTCCCACCTCCACCCTGGACGCGGGGCCTCCCCGTGCGTCGTTCCTGACATTCGGGTCCAAAAGCAAGATCTGGGGCCATCAGTACGGCTTTTGTTGTGCTGGGGGCCGGCTTTTATCTTTTGCCCTGTCCATTGGACTCGCATTTAATAAGCTACCCGGTGCTTTTGTTGGGGGAGCTTGTCTGATCCACACGTCATCCCTACTTTATGAGTAGGGAAACCGAGGCTGAGGCGTTGAGTGACTTATCCAGAGCAAGACCCTGGGCACGTCCCCCGAGTGTGCCCCCTTCTGCCCGAGCACATCACGCCCGTCCCTGGTGGGCGGGAAAGCTCGGCGCCGGGAGGAGCGTGCGGGGTCTGCAGTCGCAGGAGCTGGAGGCCGCAGGGAGCTGCGATGGCACCACCGCACTGCGGCCTGGATGGCAGAGCAAGACCCTGCCTCAAAAAGAGAAGTGTCATTCGCCGGAGAATTAGAAGAGTTACTGATTTTGTTTATTGGATTCATGAGAGTAATTGAAAGACTATGAAATTATATTGAAATAATAGCCTCTGAGGAAAATGATTAGATTGTGTGAACGTTTCAGATAGATTACAACACTATTTTAGAAAGTTTACGAGGGCTTTTTAAAAAAAGAAATAAAGCAAGAAAATAACTTTATGACCATAAACCAAAAACAGAGCCATCGATTTACCAAAGTAAATGGTATGTTTACTACATGGTCTGCCTTCTGAAGAATTAAATGTAAGTTAAACAGACTGACAGAATGTTCTGATGGTTCCTAGGAAAAGCGCGGGCTGCAGCAGAAAAGTGGAGGCACAAGAGAAATCGATCCTTTATTTCCTTCGTGTCTGCATGTCTGTGTGCACACGTTAAGCTCATGCGTGCTGTGCTGTTTTGTGTAAGATTATTCTTCCCCCGTACCTAACCAGTGGTCAGCCTCGTAAAGAGAATAATAAAGTTATTTACTCTTCGTCTCAGTGTAAAAGTCTAACGTAGTTTCATGCTGGCTGGAGTCTGGAATGAGCTGGCTTTGAGAGTCTCGATGTTTGACAAAGTAAAGTTTCCTGGCAATTAGCTAATTTTTATTTCTGCCGTAAGATCCTGTGGAGCATCGTAAGCCTGGATTTTAAATAACACTGTTTTCTTACTCAGGACAAAGGACTTTCTAGAGGTTCTTGGAAGAAGAAAGCGCGGTAAAGATGCAGCCGCGTGGCTGCTGGTCTTGCCTCAGGCTCTGCCACTCGAGTCCCTGTTGTTTTGCAAATGGCTAAGTCCAGTTAGGACGATACTAAACGTTTTTACATAAATAATATTAAATATTGAAAGCTGGTATATTTGGTTTTAGTTTTGTGGTGTACAAACACGCAAATCAGATTCTTTGTAAGAAAGGTTTCTAGGGCCGAGACTAGCCCAAGAGCCACTAGATTACTGTGTGTGCCATAAATCTGCTTCTCTTTCCTCCCCAGGTCCGCCTCACGTCTCAGTGTGAGCGCTTTGCAGCTCTAAGATGCGTTGCATGTAGATTTCCGTTAAGTTCTTCCTAAGTGATAAGGATGTAGACTTATAAGCAGGACCAGACTAATCATCTTAGCGTTACACTGCGGGTCCCATAGGTAAGGTCTAGAGAGCCGTTCCGTGCCAGCTACCTGCAACTTTCTGACTCTTTCTTTCTGATTGTAAGACTCCAGGGTGTTTACGACTGAGAAAGTTGTGAACCCTTTAAACACATAGGGAATATAGAAGTGTTTATTTAAAGTTCGTTGTTGCTTATTTCTCTCTTATCTGATTTTAATAATGATCGACCCTGGAAATCTCAAGTTAGAGCTTCAATTTCAGTAATTTTTGTCTAAGTGGGATTAAGCCAGATCTAGAAGAAAATCTTTGGAAAAGTGTTTATTTAGTTGGATATTTTTCACTTAAACTAATCTATTACCTTAATATATTTATTAGTCTGCTTTTTACATTAGTTTACTTGACATACATACATAAAAATGTACTTAGGAAATCGTTTCAGTATAACCTTTCTCTTATTGCCTAAAAGTGTGAGCACTATTCACGTGATTAAAGGTGGTCAGTTTTAAGAAATTAGCTTCTCAGCCCCTTTGTGGACTTGCCGTGTCAAGCGTGTGAAAAGTAGTAGTTATTAAACTTCCAGTGAGCAGAGAACAAGCCAGTATTCCAGGAATTATGGATTGGAGATGCTATTCTGGGCAGCCCCGAAGCTCAGCGTTCTTGTTCGTTAGACACCTTCTCACGACGGAGCCCGACACTGCTGGCTTTGACCTGTGCAGGAGACCCAAGGCAGCCACTCCTCCGGTCAGGAAACGCGGACACTGCTTTGAGCGATAAGCAGACTAGATTTGCAAATGTCCTCACGCCAGTGAAGACTCTCCCCCTCCACACCCCGATTGTCTGGACTGTGCGGCGAGAAGTTCAGAGTCCTCACGATGCTCGTGTGACACAGCTGGGAGTCGGGTTCTGTCTGGAGAGCAGCGCGTCCCTCCCTAAACCGGTCCTTTGGTTTGCAGTTCAACACTAGAGAGGGCAGTGGCCTGCTTTTAAAGACAAATTATATGCATCGATAGTACTCAGATCAGGTCAGGTTTTAAAGAAAGCCCAATACATAGGAAAATTCGAGTCTCCCAACAGATTAATTCAGAGACAATTATTTATACGATCATATAACTTAATGTACAAATCCTTCTGTGAATAAGTTTCCCAGATTTATAAAATTAAACTATATGCAGTTCTCAGGAACACTTCGGTAGAGATTAAGCCATGTGTGGCTCTGGGTTAAGGTTGCTAAGTTTTATTGGCCCAGTGAACATCAGTGTGCTGAGAAGTGGTCGTTGTTTCGTGTAGTAGAAAACGAGATCGGGATTTATTAACTGCTCTTTCTCTCTTTTTGCCAGATTTAGAAATGGCTGTTGCATACTGGAAATTAGTATTATCTGGAAGGTTTAAGTTTTTAGATCTTTGGAACACGTTCTTATTGGTAAGTGTCCTGCTTCTTGCACGTGTGCCCAGCGTGAAGGGTGGGTCAGCAGGTTCGGGCTGTTCGTCCTTGTCGAGCTAAGGTCTCACACGTGGAAGTTTTGGGCAAACAAAAGTCCCACACAGAGCTCCGCAGGACCAGACAGGCCGCCTCACGGCTCTGCTGCCTCCGAGAGCAGCAGCAGCTGGGCCTCAGGTGGTATGGTGCCAAGGCGCCCGAGACGGCAGACGCCTGGACTAGGCTTTCTGGAAGGCCCGCTGCAAACCTCAGCAGCCTTGGTCTGTCATCTCCTCTGAGGACCCTAAAGGACTCTGCATTTCCATGAGAAAGTCCAGATCCTTAAAGAAAGGGCCAAGTACCACATTTCCTGTGAGTTGATCTGGGCTCTAGAACTGTGGGTTACATCCCGTGGTCCAGGTACCCCGGCCGTGGCGTGCGTGTTCATGGTCTGATGCCACTTTCAAAAGTGCTCAGAAGGAAAGGAGGCCCGAGTGGCCCTCAAGGAAGGAACCGTGCTTTCGCCACGCCGGCCCCCGTCTGGCCCGGGCAGCAGGTGCAGCTGTGGGATGAGGGGAGCGGCTGGGGTACAGGGACCTGCTGCAGCCCCAGAGAAGACAGCGCTGGTGATGGAGAGCTAACCAGCCTCTCTCGCTGTCCTGTCCACACGGGACAGCCACAGCCTGGCCACGGTGAATCAACACCCCCTCGATTCAGTTCACGACACCAGGAATGTGGACTCTGCTCTGCCACTCGCTAGTTTTGAGGCCTTTGGCAAGTTACTTCCGAGAGCCTCAGATTCCTCATCGCGTAGTAGTGCTCATAGGGCGTGGCGGGCGGAGGGCGGAAGCGTCTGAGGAAGGTGGCGTTGAGTCCTGCAGGCCAGCTGCCGTAGGGAGGCTTCACGGCGGGGTGTCTTCGCACATCCCGCACTTGCTCTGTAAAACATGCGGGGGTTAGTAACTGTGCCCATCACTCCTGCTCTTTCCCTGGGTCCAGCCTACATCACAGACATTTCCCAGACGCTCCTCCTGCCCGCGTGCACAGAGACGGGAGCGAGGTGCCCGCGGCATCCTGAAGGCAAAACACCGGAATGGCCACAGGGGAATGGGTCAAAAATAGGAATATCAGTTCAACAGAACACAGCGATGGCGCAGAGAACACGAATGAATTTAGATTTACACGTGTCAGTCTGCTTACATTTCAAACATAACGTTAAATGGGAAGAAAAATAAGTTGCAGAAAACAAGATAGAATTTGCTGGCAGTTAATAACATTTTAAAATGTAAGACATGCTTATAAGCTGTGTATGAATATATGTGCGTGTAATTTGTGGAAACGGTCAAGAGAGTGATGCATGCTGGATTCAGGAGAGCGAGTTCCTCCGCCGCAGAGGAAGAGGAGCGGGCCGGGGGAGGTGCAGGCTGCAGGGAGCCCACCCTGTGTCACCCCCTCAGCGGGTGGCGATTGCACAGGTGGTCTGTTACTCCGCATGGCTTTGGGTAATCTGAATATGAATGACACATGTTGTAGAGATTCGTCCCGTCCCACCGTAAGAACTACCTAGCACTTAAAGATATAGAACGGAAATAAATAGAAGCGCAGACTTGCCTGTTGTCCTGCGTTGTTTTAGAATCGGTTCGAGGGGCAGATAGCAAGGTTAAAAATGTTGCCCTCTTATTTGACCGAAACAGGAGTTCATAATTTTAGTATTTAAAATGTTTTGTTTTTAAGTAAGTCTGCTCTCTGTATTTGGACATTGGCATTGTTTAGCTTGTCACATTTATACAAAGCACTATTATTACTCTTGACTTTCAGCCATTTCGTTGTTATGCTTATTCCTGATCAAATCAATGGGCATCACTCATTGATTGAAGATCTCTAGGCCCCTAGAACGTCTGAGAGTTAAGTTCTGTGTCTTAAATCTGGTGGGTTTTTCTCTTGTGTATCAGGAACATCACAAAAGATCAATTCCAAGGGACACTTGGAACCTCCTGCTAGATTTCGGAAACACGATTGCAGACGACATGTCCAACTACGATGAAGAAGGTACTGGAAGTTGCACTTCAGACGCTTGTGAGAAATGCTCCCACCTGACACGCGTGTGCCCTTCTCTAGAGCCGTGACAGATGCAGAGGCTCATTCAGACGGGCCCCGGACACACCCCGTCACTGCAGTGGGGGTGATGAAAATGGCCACGTCCTTATTATTCCCTGTAAATCACACAAAAGAAAAATGGGGCTTCGTGTTTAGTTTGGATGAGGAAGACAGTCCTCTGAACCAAAGCTCTCACAGCTGGCCGCGCAGAGACCCCAGGGCAGAGCCACGGAGGCAGACAGGCATTTGGGAGCCACACCCCAAGTATCCCATCCTGCTTGATGGCTTAGGTCAGTTACCCCATTATGCTGTTGAAGCTCATTTGGAGATTGCAACTTGTGTCTGCTTGCGTAAGTGTATGTGTACATAGAGCAGTCCCCCCAGTATCTCGGGACACCAAATCAGAGGGCGTCTGGACGCCTGCTCTGCACCAGGCATCTGCCACGTTAGGAGAGGAGCACAGTCTCGGGGCGGAAGGTCCCCCTTCCGGCTCCTCCTCGGTGCGCACGCAGCTGGGCAGTGACCTGGGCACCTGGCACCTTGCTGCGTCTTCCCACTGTTTTAGCTTAGTTCTCTTTGTGTCCGCAACACTTAGCACAATACCTGGCCCCTGACAGGCACCTAATAAATGCTTGCTGAATGTGGACAGCAGCGCGGCCCCCAGGAGCTCTGGCCGAGGCGGGTGGGGTGAGGCACGTCTGCGTGGAAAGATGCTGACGGCGCCAGGCAGGGTCCCAGCTGCACGGGCCTTCTCAGGAGCCCAGCGGGGCGTGCGGGTTGGGTGGGTGCAGGCAGGGAGGCAGCACCCGCTGGGGCAAGAATGCAGGTGATGAGGAAGGTGGCTCCCTGTCCCCACCCCGGCACACATGGGTCCTTTCCTTCCGTTCCTGCTCAGCCGGTCCTGACTGCCGGGACCACTGGACAGGACGTGCAGCCGCAGGGAGCACACACGGGTGACAGGGCGTGTGGACACGCACTCAGCGACCTGGCCTGGCTGGAGTGAAACAGTTGGGTGACTTGAGCCACTTCATTCTGTGAGACGTGAGGTGTGTGAACATCAAGTCGTGTGTGTTCTGGAAACAAGTGTTGGACTGATACCGGGAGAAAAAGCTTTGACTGTAGAAATGTTGCTCTAACGGTGATTTTTAATATTTGTTTGTTTGCCTTCCTCAGGAGCCTGGCCAGTTCTTATAGACGATTTCGTAGAATACGCTCGGCCAGTGGTCACAGGTGGAAAACGCAGAAATTTCTAGGCGGAAAATGGAGACGGGTCGAGATTGTAAAGGGAACTGCACCCCCCACGGAGACGGTCTGGCCAGTGCCTGCGCGGTTGTGCCGACTTGAGAAGCGGGTCCCCTGGCCCGCGGGGACTGGAACAGCCGTCTGTTCTGCGTGCGGGCCGCGGACACCGTGAGAAGTTCCTCAGAAGATAGCTGCTTTGGGATGTTTGGAGATTGGTCATCATAGCTGTTGCTTTAGGAGATTTCTGCATGATTTTTATATTTACGAAAAAGTCACAGAGCCCGTTTGCAGCACCGCAGAGCATGCTGTTCAATTCATGCTTTAAGGTGGACGGCAGCAGTTAGCAAAACCCCTGCTGAAATGCGTTGTAACATCACTTAAAACAGATTTGTGTCCTCGGTAGGATGTTGTATTTTTATACAAGTCAGAGCTCTTAAAAATGTGCCCTAAAGAAGATGATCTTGCCATAGAGTCCAATGTTTTTTAAACTTGGTGCCAGTAATTAAAGGCCTATATTTTTGAATTGTCAAATATCTAGATTTACCAGATCTATTTTTGTTTCCATTTTCTCTAGATGTTCATCTGAAAATCACTTTACAGTGTTTAATACGCCGTGACAGTTTGCACAGGGAGAGATGCCAGCAGAGCTTTATTTTAGGCCGTGTGCAAGTCCGTGGGCCTGTTTTACTTCCAGTAATGTTATTTGAACTTCCTGAGAAGTTTCATAAGGTATTTTTTTAATATATTACATTTAAAAAGCTGTTTTTCCATGGAAATCTTTCTTTCATGAGTGATGAATTACAGGTTTAAAAGTCGAATGAGTCGATTCCTTCCACCTGGGTGTGACATCCGCGATGTCCGCCATCCCGCCCTTTGCACGGTGTACACATCTGGAAGCTGAAATGTACATCGTTGAGAAAATCCCCAAACCTGCGTCGTATTTGTGAGCTGAGGTCTTTCCTTGCACCGCGTTGGCTGCCGCGGCCCAGGCAGGGGCACCTAGATGCGCCAGCGTCTCTGGTGTCGGGTCGGGGGCGTCACCGTGTCGACCCTACCTCACGTCTGCCAAGACCTTCACGTCACGAGCGTGCCTTGCTGCCCTGCCTGCACAGAGTGGGGAGCGCGTCGGCTGGGCTGCCGCGCGGGGGAGGAGAGTCGCGCAGGCCTGCTGTGCACAGAAAGTGCGCCAGACCTGCCGTGTGACTGGCTTCCAGGGCGGGACTCACTCCATGCTTTGGGACGCGTCTCCTTACGGCCTGAGTCTCACGTGCGCTGCCACCGCGTGAGCTGTTGATGCTTCCAAACGGAAATCTCTGACACGGGGCAGCCGGGCCCAGAGAGGCGGAAGGGACGTGCGGCCTGGGGGCCCCTCCCTGGCCGTGTGATGGGCGAGTCCCGTGGCCTTCCGAGCTCAGGCTCTGTGTCCGGATCTGCAGGGGGAGCTGGGCCGGCTCTGCCTTGAAAGCCAGTGGTTCCCAGCGTTTATTTAATAGACTAAAAACCTCAAGATGTTAAAGCTTCTCCTAGGCTTTGTGGGTTCCTGTGTGACTTTGTTCAGAGAAGTTTATTGAATTCTGATAATCCTGTATAAATTATGGAGATCTGCAATACTTTTTTATTTTTGAGATTTAAAGTTCTTTTGGATTTTCAGTAGATATCAAAGTATTAGTAATTGAACAAAGGCTGTTCAGAAAATGCGGTTTTTCTTCTATGATATACATTTGAGTCGTGCATGCTCTGAAATGCTAAGAACAGAAACATTAAAATAAATTGTTTCTCTGGTGTTGAGGTGTCCTCTTCATTCCATTCTTGGATGCATGGCTACTCGGCCACCAGCTGTCAGGGTCCTGGTCTTTGTCACAGGACTGCAGAAAAGCCCTCTCCGTGGCATCGGGGAACAGGCTCCTTGCCACCGGCTCTGACCTGCACCCCTGGTTGAACAGGCACGTCCCAGACAGCGTCAGTATCTAGTTGTCATGTGCCGAATATGGTCCTTCCATGTGAGAAATTCTAGATCTCACAATATACAGAATTGACAGAGGAGCTGGTGGGAATATACCCCAGAATAGAGTACAAACTGTAAATACATTGAAAATAACGAACATAGGAGGCTTAAGAAATTACGTATGACCTGTACCTTCGCAGCATAACTGCCAAGAATTTCCAGAACAGACATGTCATCTCTGTCTTAGTGCCATGGTACACCCCGTGTTATTTCAGCTTAGTAATGGTTTAAGTGTGATACCATGTATGTTTCAGACCTCAGGCTTTGTGGGGCAGAGTGAACTTTTTTGGGTATTTGCTACAATGTCCACAGTCCCTGTACGAGCGGGGGCTCGGTAAATAGTCACAGAAGGCGCAAATGCACGGGCCGACCGTGTCTCCAAACAGCAGTTTGCTGACTGTGCCACTCGGCGTGGGGCTCAACCCCGCGCGTCTTCAGCGAGGGCTCCCGCAACCGCCGTGGACCGTGCTGCCCTCGGCAGTAGGATTTCAGCCAAGCGAAGCCGCTCCCCGTCGCGGGTGGTCGTCTAGATACAGTGGCCGTCCCTCGTGCCTGGCTGGTGTCGTCTGGTGTGGAGGGGAGCTTACGGATGTGCTGTGTGACAGACTGATTTGGATCTCAAGAGTTGTGCCACCTGGAGTAGTGATGCTTAAGAACCGCAGTGCCAGCTGGTGCTGGTGTGAGACTGTGTTTATTTACGTGCACCTTACTATCTTTACTAGCCTGCTGTACATTGAAAGAAATTTCATTTTTATGAGCTGAATTTCTTAAGTCCACGTGTGACTCCCTCCCACTCCCCCGTGTGGCTGAAACCGCATCCCGGAGCCCAGTCACGCAGGCGCTCCGGGGCGGGGATGTGGGCGGTCTTCCCGACGCATTTCAGACGGGCAGCCCTGGGCTCCCACGTTCTGCCTAAGCCCGGCCTCCTCGCATTTCTGCACGTCCTCTCCTGAAGTCGCAGGGATGTTTCGAGTGCCTTGAGCTTGGGGACGGCCGAATCACAGACTCCTCGGGGAAGCGTCGCCGTTGGGAGAGCCGCCGCTGACGCTGAGCGGTGAGGAAGCGTCACGCTCTCCACGCGGAGCTGCCTGTGCCTCTTCCCTCTGCACCTTTTACGTTTTCTTTCACAGCACGTTTTATAATCGAAAGTGAAAGTTTCCTAAAAGCTAGAACTGCATGTGGTGGACGAACAGCAACATCCTGCTGAGTAAAGACTCGGGCACAACAGACACGTGATGTCTGTGGAATTTCTAGGAAATTTCTGAGGACACGGCAAGGTAATAAGACACAGTTCTCTGAGATTCCTAGAAAAGGCAACACTGTAGAGACAGCAGATGGGCCAGTGCCTGGGGTGGGGGCGAGGGGACCTTGGCGTGGAGCCTGCTCCAGAACAGGCTGCGGGGACAGGTCACGCTGCACGTGCACACGCCCTCGGGGACGGTGAAAAGAGCCGCTGCTCTGTCAACACCCGAGTGGCTCTGAGAACTGCTGGAGCCAGCAGCTCCTCTGCCGAAGAGCTGGCGCCTGCCAGAGCTGACGGAAGCTGACACCTGCCACGTGGTGGCTCAGAAAGGTCCTCTCATTGGTGCCACCTGCAGAGACAGCAGCGCAGTGCCTGGCTGTCAGAGGACACTCCTGACAGCCACACAATGGCCACTATAAAAGTCAGCAGGGCGGCTGAAGGCAGCTAGGAAGGGACAGAGGCCAGCGCACAGCTGTCGGTGCAAGGCTGCCTCCAGGATGGAGCGATTCAAGGCTGCCATGCTCCTGGGGAGCGTGGGCGACGCTCTTGGCTACAGAAACCTGTGCACAGAGAATAGTGCCGTGGGCTCGAAGGTGCAGGAGGAGCTGCAGTGTGCCGGGGGACTAGAGCAGCTTGTGCTCTCGCCAGGGACGTGGCCAGTGAGTGACAACACCATCATGCACATCGCCACCGCCGAGGCCCTCACCACGGGTAGGCTCGGCCGGCCGCGCGGGGGGCTGGGAGGCCGTGCGGGGCTCAGGCATGCGGGGGGCCGGGAGGCCGTGCGGGGCTCAGGTTCCTGCGGGAAGCCCCACGAGCTTGGGAGACGGGCGTCTCTCGGCGGTGGTGTTACGTGATGCTGCTGCTAAAAGTGGCGATTTAATAGACTCCAGTGTGCCCAGATTAGAGAGGCGGGATCGTGTTTCTCGTGGTGTCTCTGGGAGAGGTTACTTTGCAGATAGTTAAGATTCAATTTTTAAACGGTGACTTTCCACTTCTATTTGTAAGATGCTAACAGCGCCTCGCAGCTTCTGTTTCCAGCAGTTAAAAGCTGTGAAGCCTCTTGCTGCAGAGCTGTCTGGCGGTGGCGCGGCAAGGGTGCCGCTTCTCACTGCGGAGATCAGGCATTCTTGTTCCACGTTTGTCACAAGTGACTGTAAAATAATAAGCCAGTTCGAAATTTGGACCCATTAAGATAAAATTATTTGGGAATTACTTCTAAATTCCAGTGAATTGAGGTTAAAATATCATCTACCAAAATGATTCAGTTTAGATAGCTGCTTATACATAAATGTGTTCCAAGAAAATGCTACCAAACTGATTGGATTTGGGTGGGGGGCAAAGTTTCTTAAAATATTTTTGAAGCAGCAAATTGATTTTAGGGTCAACAAGTTATTGCGTGAATTTTAGGAAAACAGGTGCGTGAACACGTAGTGCGCTTTCCTGCAAATCGTTTGCTCTTTGAAACCCTGTAGGTGTTGTTGGTTTGTCGTTGCAGAGTTGAGACGTGAGGGCAGCTACTGTGAGTGAGGTTTCAGTGGGGCGTTGCCTCACTGCGCCGTCTGCCTGCTGCGCGCCGCGTTTAGTGCTGTGGTCACCGCGCAGGAATGCCGTCGGCTCCGTGGCCGACCCTGAATAACCAGGCCGCCAGCCAAACGCTGATAAGATGAGGCCTCCCGGCCTGTCGGCATGGTGACGCATCTGAGTCTGCCCGGGTACGCGAGCCAGATGCTTCCCGTTTCTGGTGTTTTCAGGCAGACTTTCAGATGCCTTTGTGGTCAGCAGTGCTAAGTGGGTAATTCCCGCAGCCCCGAGAACAGCCCTGCTGGGCCGTGCCCGCCGCAAAGCTGTGGCTTGTTCAGCTGCACCCAGTCGGTGCTTACTCTCAACTTGGCTTCTGTCATCTGTCTGATGCTGTGTGTGCACAAGCACACGCATCCACGGCTCTTCACGTGTGTCCCCGTCTCTGCTGGCACCTTGACATGCAGCTAGTGAATGCAGAGCCCAGGGCCATGTGTCTGGGGCTGCGTGGTTGCCCCGGGAGGGCGCCTGGCACAGGTGGGCACTCCATGCCGGCGACATGCCGTCCGTGGGGAGACTGACGGGACACAGTGCCCCACGGCGAAGCGTCTACACAGAAAAGGGCCACACACCTTCGGGGCCTCATTCCTGAGGAGGGAAGCGAATTCCCTCCGAGCGATCGCAGCGCTCAGATGCGGAGGGGACGGGGTCTGCTGCCCGGTGTCAGCTTCTGGTTTGTGGGTCACGAGGACGTACCCGCAAGATTGCCGCTTGAATCGCTTCCTCCAGGGACGAAGCAAGCACGTGTTCAACTTGCTAAAAATCAAAGCTGAAGTTTCATTTTTGTCTCTCCTTTGAGTAACAGTTGTAGCCTGCAGAAGGGGGCCTTTGAGCTACGCCAGTGATGGTAAGAGCCACCTGCTCCGTGGCGCGTGTGCTCACGTCTGATCTTGCACAGCGTCTGGCTCACGTCGCCCGAGAACCGACATTATCGCCTCCATTTCACAGAAGAGGGACCAACCCACAGGGAGGCTGAGTCACTTGCCGGGGGCCATGCAGCCCCGCGAGTGGCAGGGCGTGTCTGGGGCCTACACGGTCTGGCCTGGAGCCCGTGCGTTCCCGACCCCCGAGGTCACCCTGGGCCGGGCGAGCATCTGGCCACAGTGTGCAGCAGCTTTCCAGCCCGTTTTCCAGAGACTGGCAGGCTTGGACAAAGTGCATGTTTAAGCTTCACTCATAAGTCTCTCAGCCCAGGACCTTGTGGCTGTGTGGTCCACCAGCCCCTGGTCCCGTGCCAGAGTGAGCGTCCGCGGAAGGCCGGGCGTAGCCCATGTGGCCCTTGCTTGGGGCATGTTGGGTATTGAGCGGGAAACAGCATCCTGCAGGGCATGTACGCCGTGCAGTATATATAGCCTTGAGCAAGGCGCCGTGTCATTATGTCACTCTGCAAGCACTCAGCAAACACCTGCTGTCCGCCAGGTCCCGCAGGGGGGCTCCTCCCCACAGCACTCGGGCTGTCTGCAGCCTCTCTTCCTGCCCTCCCCTTGCTGGCCGAGAGCACTGCAGGGGTGGTCCCCCGCTCTGAGCCCACCTCCTCACGGGTCACGGGAGGGTTAACTGGGGCAACCCACGTAAAGCGGGAGGAAGCTCCTAGTGAGTCCACGTGGGACGGTGGCTCCCGGCAGCACAGCCAACGTCGTGTCTGCAACCGTCTCGAGTGGCTGAGGGTCCGCAGCCCCGACAGTCGCGGCCGAGCAGAGCAGCCCCGCGGCTCCGGTAGCGCAGAGGGCAGGTGGCAGGGGGGCTGTGCAGCCCGGCTGCGGCTTCTCTGGGTGGCCCTGATGCCAGCCGCGGAGCAGAGCGTGGCTGGAGCAGCCGCAGGCATCTGAAACGTTGACGTTTTGCTACAAGCTGACCTGATGCTGGCATTCTGCCTTTTCTTTACTGTCGTGTTGGTCGGGACCCTCGCTGGTTTCTCTTTTAGGACGAAGGTCTGTTGTGGCCCGTTTCTAGGGGCTGAGGAATGAACACAGAGACAAAGAGACAGACACACACAAAGACGGTACAGGACTGCAGCCACTACAAAGAGACACAGACACACAAAGACAGTATAAGACTACAGCAAATTTCTTGTTGTAGTTTCTTTATTTATAACACAGCCTGTTTGGCAACTGTCCCACTGCAATTTCTTTGTTCCCACACTGTCCCGACTCAACACGTCCCTGTTCCTTGTTGTTGCGTCTCCGGCGAGCAGATGTTTGCCTCTGAGCTCTCTAGCCCTTACTGTTTTCAGATCAGGGCGCCCTGGACTCGCGTTCAAGCCCACAGGCATATTCTGAGAAAAACAACAAGGAACCGTTCCCAGGCAAAATGTCCTCTACAAAGGTCCCCAACCTTTTTGGCACCAGGAACTGGTTTCATGGAAGACGGTTTTTCCCCGGATGGGGGTGCGGCGGGGGTGGCGGAGCCCTTGGCCCGGTCCCTGACAGGACCAGTTCCGAGCCCGGCAGCCGCTCGCAAAGTAGAGAAACCGGGCGAGGCCGGAGGCTCAGCAGCTTTGAAAACCTGTTTCTAGTTCAAACTCTAAACGGAGAGGCAGGCTTTTTGTTGCCATTTTGTTTTTCTGGATTTTTTTTGCTTTGAAAAGGCTAAATTTCAGTTAAATACAGACATTTCATGGTATCTGATTCCAGGATGAAATGAAGTAATTTAGGGGCCCAGGAAGGGCCAGGCTTGAGTTAAGAAAGGCTGTTCGTAAACCGATGGCGCCGGCGACCGGGCCGGCACGCGGTGGGCCTCAGAGAGCCCGGACGCAGCCGCGTCCGCAGGGTTCCCGCTGTCACGCCCACCCCGTGGGACTTGCAGAGTCCTTTCCGCCACACTTGCTCTCGCTCCCTCCCCTCCTCCCTGACTCACGGCTGGGCTGACCTGGCAGCCCCCAGCACTGGGCCTCCCTGGCCTGCCCTGCTGTCGGGGTCTTGCCAAACCGGGCTGGGGGGGACAGGGGGAGGACCACACCCGGTCCCATTTCCGGGGCTGGGTTTGGGGGTTTGCACCGGAGGAGCGGGAGAATTTGTCACGCGCCCCTCCCTAATCTCTCCAGCCACCCCCACCCCACATCAGGACCCCAGCTCTGGCGGGGCCTGAGGAGGTCTCTGGGCGCTCAGTGCCCGCCTGACCCACCCCGACAGGCGGGCGTCCCCGCCCAGGAAATGCGGGCCGTGGGCGTCCCCCGCCCCCCCACAAGTCGACCCGGAAGTCCTGGCTGCGATTCTAGGGCAGAACAAAGACGTGTTGTGGGCGTAGAAGGGGACGCTGGGAGGGCGCCCTCACCTGCCCCCCGGCCACGGCCCTGTCCCCACCTGACGGGGCATCTTGGACTCCAGTTTTGAGGACGTGTGGACTCCACCCACCACGCTCTGGGCTAACTTAATGACAAAACGCCCAGGCTTTGCAATCGAAACGCGTGTGCCAGCTCTGGCCGTTGCGAGATGTATTGTCTCACGAGCTCATCCGGGCAAAGTGGGAATCGGACCCTGGTGCTATTGTCGGGGGGATTCTGCTCGGTCGTCTCAGGGGCAGATGGTCCCGTGCAGTGCGGGTGGCTGTGCCGGCTCCTTCCCGTCTCTGCCCCGTGGTCTCGGGGGACTGGAGCCCACACTGGCCCCAGGACGCTTGCGTGGGGCCGGGGATGCCGACGGTCCCCACACGAGAGGGGAGTGGAGGTGGGATAGAGTCGGGCTCGTCGCCTCGGGCGCAGCCGCGTCACCAGCCCAGGGACGGCGGGTCTCGGCTCATTCCCGTGTGGACGGAACTGTCAGTACGGCGAGGCTGTGTCTGCTCTAGATGCTCGTGTGTACTGGGATGATAAGCATGTAGCCAGCTGGGATGTCCGAAATGAGAGTGAAATCGCGAGCGCGGTCTCCGTGTAAGTCTCTCCAGGTAGCCGGGCTGTGGCAGAGGCACCAGCGGCGTCTTTCTCCGCTTCCCTGAGAGCACCTGCCCCTCCCACGGACAGGCCTCGTCTGCGGCTGCCGAGGGTGTTCCCGCGGCTCTGAGCCTGCCAGGGGCCTGCCCAGCGCGGGAGGGGGCCGCGGCGCTCTCTGGCGGGCTCTGACGCGACTCTGCCCTGCTCTTTCCTCCCAGACTACTGGTGCCTGGATGACCTGTACCGGGAGATGGTGCGGCGCTACGTGGACGTCGTCGAGAAGCTTCCAGAACGCCGGCCAGACCCAGCCACCGTCGAAGGCTGCTCCCAGCTGAAGCCGGACAACTACCTGCTCGCCTGGCACACGCCCTTCAACGAAAAGGGTCAGGGAAATCCCTTCCGCTCCCCGAAGCTGCCCTGCGGGGGCCGCGGACACTAACCGTCTGTCCCCCCAGCTAACCCGCCGGCAGCTCCGGGCTGCCTGATGCGGTGCCGCCAGCGGCCTCTGCTTAGGGTCCACCAGGCTTCTCCATGGGGCTTTGTGATCCCTTCCTGGTGTATTTTAAGGAATATTTTCCGCTGCTTTCCCTCTGTCTTTTTCGCTATGACATCAAGGAAAGCTTGCGCCGCCTGCATGCGTGTGTCCCCAGCGCTCGGCTGTGTTCACGGCGGGGCCATGTTTAGGCACCCACGGTCTCTGCCCCGAAGAGCCCCTGGACCTCTGCCCATCCACAAAGGGTGCGGGGAGACCTGCCGCGGTGCCGGCGCCACTGTTGTCAGCCCTGCTCTGGCGCCATCCCTCTCCCAGGCTGGGGGGCTCGGAGTCCTTGCAGGCAGAAGAGAAATGCCCCCAGGCTGGTCTCTGAGAGGTGAAACGTGTTCTCTGACGGCATAGCAGGGACGCAGGTGTCCCTGGAAACCCGCGGTGAGAGGGTGAGACCAGGTAAGTGGCTCCGGTAGCCCACGTGGACCACGAGGAGAGGACCCCGGGCAGACGTAGACCGACCCCAGCTGGGCGGCCTCGGCGCGTCCCTCTGCGTGCATGTTCCTGCTGCGCAGGGGTGGAGACCGCGAACCTGTTTGAGGTGGGCCGTCCGGTGTTACCGGTCAAAAGTATTGAATGACACGCCCTTTGGCCTGGCAGTTCTGCTTCCGGAAGTTCCGATGACCCGCGGTGACGTGCTCAGGCAAGTGAGCAGACACATGTGCAGGGCGTGCTCTGCTCATCGTCGGACTGGCGAAAACCCAAGACACGGGTGCCCCGGGGGCAGGGTGGCGGTGGCAACCCGCACGCTGCTGTCAGAAAGAGCAGCGCGGGTCTGCGCCGGGGCACAGAGGGCTCGACCCCGCGGAGCGGTGGGGCACGGGTAGATCCGTGCCCAGATCTCACTGAGGTTGGTCGAGGGCCCTCACGTGGAGGCTGCGCCGGCGAGGAAGAGGAGTCTGTTGTTTTCTTAATGAGCTTTTGCTGGTGCACTTCTAGTCTTTTTCTTCACCACGTACAACTCTTAAAAACCGAATTTAAACACTTTTCTTTTCAAGAACACGGCTTAGAATCAGGTGTCCTGGTTTCTAATCTGAGTTCTGACACAGCTTTGTGACACTGGGGAGGTTACTTAGCGCTTAAGCCACGTTTTCTCCTCTGTGACGCCGCCACCCGTCCGCCCTGCGCAGAGCCCTGGGGAGGCTGCCGGCTGCCGCACCTCGCGCCAGGCTCTGCCTTCTCTGCGCCGTCCTGTCTGTCTCTGGAACCCCACCCGCAAATGCACACGATCATTATGTGTCAATTAGAAAGAAAATAAAAATTAAAAAGGTTTTTAAAACAAAAAATGAAAAGTTTCTTAGGGAGGAAGTTAAACATTCAGGAAATTGAATGAACATTTATCGAACAGAACCACATAATAAACTTTCAGTGAGTCAGAGGAAAACATAAGAAGATAAAATGAAGTCGGCTCACCTCGGAGGCAGTCTTTTCGGCGTGAGCGCCGTGAGCGTTTGTCAGGTTTGCCGTCGCTTGGAAGTCGTGCTCCAGGTTTCTGTCTCACGCTTTCAACAGGAGCCGCTGACCTGCACAGCAAGTTTGTCTACTGCGCTCACTTGAGTTTCTCACCGCAATTATTTTTTTTAATCTGAATGTTATTTATCAGAATATTTAGAACGTTTTGGACTTTTTATTATGGAAAACCCAAGCATAGGCAAGAGTAGCAAAGCCAGGCCACGTCCAGCGTTGGTGGACACAACCCTTGGGCGGCAGCTCGTGCAAAGCCCTGAGCTGGGCAGCGGAGGGCGCACAGCCTCCCGCCAGATCCAAGCATAGGAGGCATGAAGAAACCACATCAAGGCATATAGTAATCAAATTGCTCAAAAGTGGAAAACCTTAAAAGCGGCCAGAAGAAGAGCACACGCCACACGCAAGCAGCCACCACGGCAGCAGAGCGACGCACGTGAGAAGCCAGCGCGGCCGGGCAGGAGCGTACTGAGAAGAGCAGCTCCGACCTGGAATTCTATGTCCAGAAAAATGTCTTTCAGATATGAAGGCGAAATAGCCTTTTCCAGACAAGCAAGAGCTGAAGGCCTCAGCAGCAGCAGAGCGCTGCCGGAAACGCTGACGGAGTCCTCGTGCAGGAGGAGGAGAACCGCAGGCGCACAGAGGCACAGCGCCATGGAAACGGTGGCCACGTGGGTGGAGATGTACGGTTTTGACATTGTTTGAATATCTTTGAAAGATAATTGTTAAACGTAATAGCAATGCATCGTAGGGTTAATAAAATACGCATCAGTTAGAATGCACGACGACAGCACAGAGGTCGGAGGGGAGAGTGGAGGCGTCAGCTGTCAGGTCCTCGCGCCACGTGCAGGCCGACGCCCGCGCGGTCACGGCGTGTGCTACGAGCCACAGCCACCCCTGCAGTAACAACACAGGTACAGCCGACAAGCCACCAAAAGGGGTAAAGCTGAATCATTTGAAAAACATTCAGCCCCAACAAGGCAGAAAAGAGGGAAGGGGGACAGGCCCAACCCTGCCATCTCGGTGACGACGGCAAACTCACAGGGCCGGAAGGCCCAGGTCACGGGCTGTGGGATCAGATGCAGAAGCGCGTCCCAGCCACGCGCTGCTTACCGGAGACACACTTCAAACATGAAGACAGACGTGGGCGCAAAGAAAGAAATACGGAAAAGATACGCTGCTCTAACACTGCGCGAGACAGAGCTGAGGTGGCTGCATCGACAACACTCACGGCAGCAAGAATCTCGCCGCGGCCGGCGGGTCTGCGCGCCGGGAGGGCACCACGCGCCTCACCCCACTGTGCTGCAAGACACAGGCAAACCCGTAACTGGAGCAGGGATTTAAATATTGGGGTCTCACACCAGCGACTTCAGTTTTCACTTTGACAAACTGGACCTGTAGTCCAGCTACGCAGGGCGCTGAGGCGGGACAGTCACTTGAGGCCAGGAGTTCAAGACCAGTCCGGGCGATAGAGCAAGACTTTGCCTCAAAAAAAAAAAAAAAAAATTAAGTAAGAGCAGATTAAACCCAAAGAAAGCGTGCTAGAGGAAATAATGAGGGTCAGAGTGGAAATCGACGATGAAAACAGAAAAAACAGAAAAAATCAATGAAACCAAAAGCTGGTTCTTAAGACAACCAAAACCCTCGATAATCCTCTCGCTTAACTACGCAGGAAAAGAAGAGGGAGACACAAATGTCCGGTCCGAACGGTGAGAGAGGTGAAATCGCCACGCATGTTTACAGACGTGAACAGGAAACCGAAGGGACGTGATCAACAATTCTGTGCCAGTGACTGTGGCAACTTAGATGGCAGGGACGATCCCTTGACAGACGCGGCCTGCGGAGGGTCGCGCGCGAGGAAACGGCCCATCCCACAGCCTCACAGACGGGACGACAGGGAGACGCTGGTCCCGAGGCCTCACGGGCGCGTGAGGAATAGCTAACGCGGATTCCACACAACCCTCGCAGAAGACCGAAGGGAGGGCGACTTCCCAAATCCGCCCTCTGCTCTCCAGAACCCGTCTGCGAGGAAGCGGCGAGGCCAGGCTGGGAGGAGACGCGGGCGTCGGACGAGGGGCATGAATCCGGGGGTGTGAAGAACGCTCACCACTTGGGGACAGCAAGCAGCCCGGCGCGGAGACGGGCGGGAGACTGGAACAAGCTTCGCGGAAGCGGACGTATGGGGACAGCCAGGCACAGATCGTGCCCCGCAGCCTTGTCACCAGAAAAGTGCAAACGAAGCCGCAGGGAGCCACCGCCACAGACCCAGTGCAGGGGCTCCGGTCGAAAAGACCGACCGCAGAACGCGTCTCCAGGACGCGCAGGGTCTGCTGCGGGGACGTCTGAGGGCACAGCCACCCCGGAACCCCGTTTGGCAACTTCTCGAAAAGTCCGTCATTCGTGGCCACGTGACGATGGCCCCCACCAGGTGTCCGCCCAAGAGGAAAGAAAGCCCACGTCCACACACGGACCCGGTCACTCGCGTCCATAGCCCAGACTGGAAACAGCCCAAACGTCCGCCCCCGGGCACCTGGTGAAGACATCGTGGCACGTCCATGCCACGGGCGCCGCTCGGCAACCCGAGGAGCTCGCTGTTGACACAGCGGCAGGTGCGCCCCCCAGAACAGCTGCGCCGAGTGACGGGAGCCAGACAGCACCGACAGCAGTGCATGCTGGGTGACTCCATCTATGTGTTTATGTATCTATTTGAGACAGGGTCTCACTCTGTCCCCCAGGCTGGAGTGCCGTGGCATCATCACAGCTCACTGCAGCCTCCAACTCCTGGGCTCAAGGGATCCTCCTGCCTCAGCCTCCCCAGTAGCTGGGACTACAGGCGCCACTACACCCGGCTAATTTTTTTATTTTTTGCAGAGATGGAGTCTCACTGTGTTGCCCAGGCTGGCCTAAAACTCCTAGGCTCAAGCGACCCTCCTGCCTCAGCCTCCCCAAGTGCTGGGGTTGTAGCTGTGCGCCACTGTGCCTGGCCCCATGTGATTCCATTTATAAAAAGCTCTAAAAATGCCAACTGATCTACAGTGTCTTAGTGGTTGCTGGGGAGAGGCAGGAGGACAGACTGGAAAGCGCAGGAGAAAGCTTCGGGGACAGGAGACGCGTCCCTCTCGGCATCGACGTGCTGCTCTCGTGAGTGTGGGCGCACGTCGACACTTGGGAGCTTGCGTGCTTCAAATACGCACAGCTCAATGTGTCGTCGTAACTCGAGGAGGCTGTTTTTAAGAAGAAAACACGTGATCAAAAGCTGCCACGGATGCAGTTCTGTCTTGTACGTCTTCCCCTGGTAGGAGCACATCACGAGCACGTCCCCAGACCATCGAAAATCCTGGTTTTAGTGGCGAAATAACGTTTCATCCCCAGGTGCAATCTAGGCCACCCCATCTCCTCTCTGTGGCCAGCCAGGCGGGCGGTTGGCCGTGGCTCGCTCGTTGAGACGCTCCGGTGAACATGTTATCGCACAAATTCTTGCACTTTTTGTTTACGAAAGCGAGATTGTCAGAGGTGGGGTGATTGGAGCAAAAGTCTAAATCCGGGAATTTCTTTTCCGGCAGGTTCCGGATTCGGAGCGGCCACGAAAGCCATGTGCATCGGCATGCGGTACTGGGGGCCGGAGCGCCTGGACACCCTCGTGGAGGTCAGCATCGAGTGCGGCCGGATGACCCACAACCACCCCACAGGTAGCGCGGGCAGGGCCGGGCCGCAGGCTGGTGCCGTCTGCATGTCTGTCCGACACAAGGGACCCGACGCCATGTTGCCGGCGCCTGCTGCGCCACCCACCTGCCCGGCGGGCTGGGCGGGAAGTCTCGTGCAATCACGCCAACTCTTGTTTGGTCACTTGTTGGGGGCGTTGCCTGATTTTTTAATATTCAGCTTTGCTTACGGCCTGTTTTGAACCTAAAAGCAGGCTTACGGGAGCATGGTGGTGCTGCGGAAACGGGCGAGGCGGGGAGTCTCCCGGGTCCCGACACCACACGTGGGAACCAAAGGGAAAGAAAAGCGCGGCCCTGGGGGAGGCCGGGGTCTGGGCTGCACTCGGGGGTTAGGTTTGCGCCGTGCGGCCAGCTGAAGCCGGTCCAGCCTCAGGCGGCGTCTCCCCGCCACGCCCCCCTTGCCAGCGCTGTGCGCTCGCACCCTCACCGGGTTGCACGGGGAGGACGTGAGCGGCGATACGTCACCCCCAGCACAGCGCTCACGCGTGGTCTGCGCGGCGAGGGAGGGTTGGCCCTCACCCTGGGACGCCACGCTCGGCCCCACGGCCACCCTTCAGTGTCGTGACAGGCGTCTCGGGCCACCTGCAAAATCTCAGCAGCCAGAGGGGCGATGGGACCCTGCTAGCTCGCTGGACATGAAATAGACGTTGAAACCCTCTCTCTGGCAATGCCGGGCACTTGGAAAGGACGTGGCGGGCGCAGGAGTCGGCGAATTTCTAAAGCACTTGCTAACGCGGTTCCCACCCTCGCTAAAAACCGTCACTCCACACGTTTGGTGCTGGGTACCTTACGTACTTCTGTGACGTGGCTGAAAACGCCTCGAGGGTCCGACCTCCCACAGCCAGCCCTGGGAGGGGCGTCTCCGCTCCCCTTTGGCAGAGCGTTGCCGTCCTCACGTCACCGCCACGCCTGTGTCCCAGAGCCTGGAGCGGAACGCCCTGAGAGCGGCGGCAGCGACGCCAGGCGGCCGGCGAGAGGGAGCCCTGGGCTTGAGAGTCAGCCTCGCGCCGCGGCGGCAGCGCTCGACCCCGCCGAGACGACCCCGACTCCTGCTTCCGGGAGTGGCCCAAAAAGCCGAGGAGGCCCCCGTGTAGTGGGCGCCGGCGCCCTGGGGGCGTCTCGAGCGGCCGATGTTCACCGTGCTCAGAGCAGTCGGGTCCCCCACGGCCCTTGCCAGGCGGCGTCGCACCCCTTTGGGAGGTCAGAATCCACGTGGCACCAGCCAGGTCCTGCCTGGTCCGCGGTGCGGCGACGGCGGGCGCGGCCCGTCCTGGCGGGCGTGGGGTCTCGCACGCCACGTCTGCCTCACGGACCCCCAGCGGCCCCGGGTGGTCCTGTGTTTCTGAAGCTGTTAACAGCTCTGCCGTGTGAGAGCCACACGAACGCCCCACGCACGAGCTCAGGGGAGCCTTGTGCCACACAGCCCTCGCGGGGACGAGGTGAGTGACACCGTTAGGCGCTCGGCAGGGTCCGGCAGGGCGACAGCTTGGGCCACGCACGGCTCCGCACGGGGCCGTGTGCACAGCAGACAAAGGCAGGAGCAGCCCCGTGTCGGTCGCAGAGTGCGGGTGACCGAAACGCGGCCCCTCCGTCCTCCGCAACGCCGGTCGGCCGGGGAGCGTAACCTTGAGGACATTATGCGAGTGACGTGTGCTCCCGCTTCCATGAGACCCTGGGGCCTCAGATCCAGGGGCAGAAAGGAGAAGGGAGGTGCCGGGCGTGGCAGGAGTCCGTGCTCGGCGGGACGGAGCTTCGGTTTGGGCAGAGGAGGGTTCTGGAGGTGGCCGGTGGCGGTGGCTGCACCGCAGTGTGCCTGGGCGCAGGGCCACTGAACTGTGCCGTTAAACACGGCTCAGACGGTGAGACAAGCCCCTCCCCTGGGTGTCCCACGCCACAAAGTGCCCAGAGGCCACCAGGCCCGTCCCGAGTGGCCAGGTGACGTGTCCGTCTCCTTCCCCACCACCCTCCAGGCTTCCTGGGGTCCCTGTGCACCGCCCTGTTCGTGTCCTATGCCATACAAGGAAGGCCGCTCGCACAGTGGGGCAGGGACATGCTGAGGGCCGTCCCGCTGGCCGAGGAGTACTGCAGGAAGACCATCCGGCACATGGCAGGTGAGCCCCTGCCCCCGATCGCACCCTCCAACGCCCTGGCGGCCCCGTCTGGACAGACCCAGCTCCTGCCCCGGCTCCCAGATAGGGGAAGCCAAGGGGACCCCCGGCTGATCACAATGAGCTGGGCGGGCCCCACCGTAAGGTCCACAGCAGCCGGGAGACAGAGACCTGCGCACGGGGAGGCTCGCTCCTGCCCCCGCGGGGTGGGACTCTCCCTGTCCCCAGAGCAGCCGTGGCTCCCGGCCGTCTGGCCCCGTCCTCGGGAGTCCCTGAGGCAGAACAGGCGCCGGGATAGCAGGGCAGGGATGGGAGGCCCCAGCCTTCTCTCTGGGCGCTGGCTCTTCTGGAAGATTCTCCCACCCCCCTGGGAGGGGCTGTCCGCACTAGGGCATGTACTGCGCGAGGAACGCAGCTGATGTTCTCAAGTTGCCGAGGAAACTTCTAAAATGAGCGCTGTCCTGCAGGAGCGGGAGGGCAGGTTTGGGGGCAGGATCAGGGCTGCTTGTTGTCAGAACAACCCGGGCGGGGCTTTTTGGAACAGAAAAGCCAGTGAGTCGCTTGGTCTTCCTCCGTGAAGGTGCCAGGCATGCTCTGAAAACGCTCTCCCAGGGGCGCAGCGCTGGGCGGCCTGGCCGCCATGACAGCAGTTAGGAGCCACCGCGTCACGGCACAGCCAGCCCCACCCACCCGCGGCGGGTCCCACGCACCTGGCGGCCTCATCTGCTCTCACCGCCTCTGCCCCTGCGCCTCAGCAGCTCCTGCCCGCTGGGGGGCGGTCTGCTGTCACCTGCCAACCTGTCAGGGTCACCTGGCCCACCTGAGAGAGGGTGACGGACGTCAGGGTTGGCGGCGTCACGGTGCTGAGCCCACACTGTGTTGGCCAGTTTGCCCAGAGATCCAGGGCTCAACACGGTTCTCCTCAGAGCGCTTTCCGAAGGGCAGGAGCTGGAGGCCGTGGAGCTCGCGGCTCGGGTGGTTCCGAGACTTTGTTCTTTCTCTTGAGGACTCGAAACGCACAGGAGCCAGTCCACAGGTCCGGGCGGTCGTCCTGTGCACAACCCACTCAGTCTCAAATTGGTCTCAGCCTCTGGCACAGAGCCTTTCTGAAAGGACTCGCAACGCTCCAGAGAGGAGTGTTGGGTAGGTTCGGTAGATCAATGCCCTCGAGCCGGCCGCTCTCGTGCCTGGCAGGCGGCACTGCGCGTCCACGCCGCCACCGAGGCCCTGCCCTCTGCAGCCCTGGCCGGGGGGCCCGTTTGTGTCTGTCGTCTCATTCTTGCCCCTCGGGCCTTCCCGCCACCGAGCCGCCCACACGCTCGCGTGCTGCAGCCCGGAGGAGGCGGCGCGTGTGCGGCGGAGCAGGCTGGGCGCTCTTGGCTCTCGGGGAGCGGAGGGAGGGCCCTGTGGTCGGCGGCTGCAGCCGCGACTCGGCCCGTTCCCGCGTCAGCGTCCGCTTCACCAAGTGAGCCCTGTCACGCGACATTCCCAGGGCTTGGATTTCACGCTGTTAATTAGGAATGACGAAACTTCCCCTCGCCCTGCTTTGCAAGCACGGCATTAAATTAATAGAAATGCCAGCCTGGGCAAGAGCGAGACCCGTCTCTACTAAACACAGGACTATCAGCCGGGCGTGGTGGTGGAGCCTGTCGTCGCAGATACTGGGGAGGCCGCGGCAGGAGGACGCTTCCGCCCAGGAGCGTGAGGCTGCAGTGAGCTGTGATGGCGCCTCGGCACTCTGCCCGGGTGACAGGGTCCAAAATTAAAGAATTAATTAACACAAATGTGTAACTTCAGAGGTTTCAAGAGAATATGCTTGAAAACACCACAGACGCCATCTCAGCCTCGGGACGCAGCGAGGCCGCCCCGCGCCACCTCCTGCCCGCCTGTCTCCCTGGCCGTTGCGGAGCGGCTGCGAGTAGCCCCCCTGGTCCTGGCCACCCTGGGGTGCCGGGCCCCCACTCCCAGACCCTCCCAGGGCCCCACGCCCGCCCCGCCGGCTGCCTGCGCCACTCGCCCGCTGTCTCCACGCAGAGTACCAGGAGCACTGGTTCTACTTCGAAGCTAAGTGGCAGTTCTACCTGGAGGAGAGAAGGATCAGCGAGGACGAGGAGAACCAAGCCGCCTTTCCGGACAATTACGACGCGGAGGAGAGGGACAAGGTGAGCCTGGCGCACAGGTGGCGCTCAGTGAGCGTGGCTAGCGGGCGGGTGGATGGAACAACCGTCACGCACAGGCAGGGCTGCCCACAGGCACGCAGGCCCGACCCACGGCTCTGTCCCCAGGCCTACAGGAAGTGGAGCTCGGAAGGCCGCGGGGGCAGACGTGGCCACGACGCCCCCATGATCGCCTACGACGCCCTCCTCGCCGCGGGCAGCAGCTGGACAGAGCTGTGTCACCGGGCCATGTTCCACGGAGGTGAGACTCTCCTTCCTCGGTGGTTCCCGGCGGCCAGGACCCCCCACCCTGCAGCACACACAGCGTGTCCAAGGGCCACAGGCTGCGGGGAGCCCCCGAGCGCAGAACGATTATCCTTCTCTGCGTCTCTGGACCCGCCCTGGGAGGGCCGCGGCCGAGATGCGCGTGTGTGGACACCACAGGCCGTCTGCTTCCAGCTGCACCCCCCCGTGGGGTCGGCACGAGCGTGAAATAGGACGGTCACGGGCAAACGCCCAACTCCCTGCTTGGCACAGAATCCTCCGTGACCACAGCCGCAATCATCAGAGCCCTGCGCGGTTCCTCCTGCTGGGATGGGGCCAAGGGGGGGCGGTCTGGGGACAGAGGAGGGAACTCGGGCACCAGCCCCCTCCACAGCCACGACATCTTGGTGGGGGCAGGAGGGGCGGGGACACTGGTGTCTGAGGGCACAAAGTGACGGGAGAAGAGAGCTGAGGGCGACAGTGGGCTGGTGGGAGCCTGGCGTGGACTCGGCGGCCTGGCAGAGCCTGGAGGGGACGGTCACCTCTCAGTAGCGCCGACCTCCACGCCACCATCACGGCAAGTGCCTCAACTATGGGCAGGTTGTCAGCGCCGTTCACGCCTCGTAGAAAGTTCTATGTGGGGCCAGAGCTTTGCTCCACAACTAAAGATGGGGATTGAAGTGAACAGGTCCCCACGGCACGCCTTGCCTCTGCCGTCTGCTGAGGAGTGAGAGCGGCGTCAGGCGTGTCCTGGGAGCAGGCAGGACAGTGGGGGGCACAGCCAGCTGCCCCTCCTGCCTGCTCCCGGTGT